TGATCTCCAAGAACATCGAGGAGAACTTTGTATTGAGAATCAAAGAGAGAGAAGAAGCCATCTAGCTAATAACTATGGACCTGAAGGTCTGTGGTAAACTACTCACGCTTCATCGGAGAGACTATGGTGTTGATGTAGAATCCGTCTGTGATCGATTCCCCCTCCGGCAGATCGCCGAAAAAGTCCCCAAGATGGGATCTCACGGGTACAGAAGGTTGCGGCGGTGGAAAAGTGGTTTCGTGGCTCTCTGTGATCGATCTAGGGTATAAGAGTATATATAGGCGGAAGAAGTACGTCGGTGGAGCTTTGTGGGGCCCACGAGGGTCGAGGGCGCGCCCTCCTGCCTCGTGGCCGCCTCACGGAGTTCCAGACTTCAACTCCAAGTCTTCTGGTTTGCTTTCGGTCCAAGAAATATTATCGTGAAGGTTTCATTCCGTTTGGATTCCATTTGGTATTCTTTTTCTACAAAACTTTAAAATAGGCAAAAAAACAGAAACTGGCACTGAGCCTCCGGTTAATAGGTTAGTCCCAAAAATAATATAAAAGAGCATATTAAATCCCATTAAACATCCAAAATAGATAATATAATAGCATGGAACAATCAAAAGTTATAGATGTTGGAGACGTATCAACCAGCTCTGTGTACGCCCGCCCGCTGATGTTTGCTTGAACTACGTCGGTATTTTCCCAAAGAGAAAGGGATGATGCAGCACATCAACCGTAGGTATTTCCCTCAGTGATGAGGCCAAGGTTATCGAACCAGTAGGAGAACCACCCAACACCACGTAAACAGCTCCTGCACTCAAAAAACAAATACTTGCAACCCGACGTGTTAAAGGGGTTGTCAATCCCTTTTGGGTAACGGTGCCAGAAATTGTCAATTTGACGGGATAAAAATTGTAGTAGATTGATAGATGCAAATAAAAGCAAATAAAATTCAGCAAGATATTTTTGGGTTTTTGGATTAATAGATCTGAAAATAAAAGCAAATAAAAATAGATCACAAAGGCAAATATAATAAAGAAGAGACTCGTGGGCCGTAGGTTTCACTAGTGGCTTCTCTCGAGAAAAATAGCAAACAGTGGGTAAACAAATTACTGTTGGGCAATTGATAGAACTTCAAATAATCATGACGATATCCAGGCAATGGTCATTATATAGGCATCACGTCCAAGATTAGTAGACCGACCCCTGCCTGCATCTACTACTATTACTCCACACATCGACCGCTATCCAGCATGCGTCTAGTGTATTAAGTTCATGGAGAAATAGAGTAATGCAATAAGAATGATGACATGATGTAGACAAGATCTATATATGTAGAAATAGACCTCGTCTTGTTATTCTTAATAGCAATGATACATGCGTGTCGGTTCCCCTTCTGTCATTGAGATCAAGCACCATAAGATCGAACCCATCACAAAGCACTTTCTTCCCATTGCAAGATAAATAAATCAAATTGGCCAAACAAAACCCAAATATCGGAGAAGAAATACGAGCCTATAAGCAATCATGCATATAAGAGATCAAAAGATTCAAATAACTTTCATGAAGAAAAACATAGATATGATCATAAACTCAAAGTTCATCGGATCCCAACAAACACACCATAAAAAGAGTTACATCATATGGATCTCCAAGAGACCATTGTATTGAGAATCAAAAGAGAGAAATGAACCCATCTAGCTACTAACTACGGACCCGTAGGTCTACAATGAACTACTCACGCATCATCGGAGAGGCACCAATGAGGATGATAAACCCCTCCGTGATGGTGTCTAGATTGGATCTGGTGGTTCTGGAACTTGCGGCGGCTAGAATTTATTTTCGCCGACTCCCCTAGGGTTCCTGGAATATTGGGGTATCTATAGAGCAAAGAGGTGGTGCGGGAGGCCACCGAGGTGGGCACAACCCACCTGGGCGCACCTGGGCATTAGGTGTCTTTTGGTTCATAAAAATTCGACAAAAAGTTTTGCTGCGTTTGGACTCCGCTTGGTATTGATTTCCTGCATTGTAAAAAACATGCAAAAAATAGCAACTGACACTGGGTACTATGTCAATAGGTTAGTACCAAAAAATGATATAAAATGATTGTAAAACATTCAAAAATGATAATATAACAGTATGGAACAATCAAAAATTATAAATACGTTGGAGACGTATCACTCGCCGTCTCGCTTGCCTTCATCTCCCGTGCCCAGACTTGTCTCTCTGCTACGATGGGTACTTCAAATTTCAATTCCCCAGTATAATTCTCCCTCTTTGTAAATCAGCATAGTTGCTTTTCGGAAAGGACTTCAAGATCATATAACCAAAATTCATTGAGCAACGGGCTGCACAAGTTACAAAGATATTTGTATCTGCGGTAAAAATATATAATTACTTCATCTATAATTGTGGTGGTAGCATGGAGGTGTATTGATGAGAATTAGTATTTGGGGCTCGAGACTAATCAAATTTTTTTAACACAAAAAGAAGAATGTAAATTGAAAAACAAGATATCGTTTCGAACACCTAATCTTGCACGCATTGCCATAGCGACAAAAATAGCGTGTCCTGGATCTCCATTGTGTGACGTCCAGGCTATAGCTGTGTGGCGGTATCTTTTGTCGTTTGCAGGGTCAAACCTCCCAACACGCAAAGGTTTTATATCTACTGGACATAGTGAGCTGTCATTTTGGAAAATAGCGCCGCGTTTCATACATACGTGTACAGAGCCTAGAGCTACATGTTTTCTGGTCGTGGAAAATCACAGTTGTCACTGGTCTGTCTCCACGAAGAAACGATTTCATATCGCCAAAAGAAGACTGTCACAAATTACCAAACTCTAGCATTCTTAAAATAAACAGGGCAATGAAAGCCTCAACATTTCAACAAGAACAAAATGAAAAATAAAAAATAATATTTGACCACATACCAAGTCTCTTGTGCAAGAAGAGTATAGAGTAGAAAAACTTGACAAGAAAAGAGAAATCCTATTTCCTGCTCCACCCACCCCACCGCATCTATCCATCTAACAGAAATAGGCGAAAAGGAGAGGGCGCGCTAGTAAACAAAAAGCGCAGCGGCAACAGCTGTGGCACGGGCAGCAGCGTCAGCCTCAGCCATATCAGTCAGTCCAACCCCCGACGCGTCTTCAGTCTTCGCCCCCAGCAAGCCAAAGCCTCCGCCTTTCTCCTCCTTTTCCGCCCAAACAAACCGCCCCCTCCCCTCCCGTCGCCCTCACCTCCGCCCTCGCCGGCAGTAGTATACGCCCGCCACCAGCTCCGACGACCCGCGCCTTCCCTCCCTCCCGACGTCGCCGCCTCCCGCGCCCGGTCCCCCGTCCTCCCCTCCGCCGCGGTGAGTGCTCCGAATTCCGGTTCCGACGGACCCTTACCTTTCGGCACAGAGTGTACGGCCCTGGCGCGCGCGTTGTGCTTCCTTCCTGTGCGGTTTTAGGGGATTCTTGTGGTGTTAGGGGATTCTCGTGATCCCGGTCGCCTATCCCGCCGCGGCGCGGCGACCGGCGTTTCTGGGCGGAGTTCTGGTTGCGCAGCAGGGGAAGGGGGCGCAGGTAATGTCAGAGACGGACGATCCTGCGGCTGCGGGTTGGAATCGATGCGCGTGCGACGTGTCGAATCTAATTTGTTTTCTTTTTTACCTCTTGTTCCTGATTGTTCTGAACTTGGTTGTCAGTTTGTTCCGCTCCATGAACTGAATCCTAGAGGGGGATCAGAATGGATTGGAAAAAAAGGCTGTTGCGTGGTTTTATTGGCTAGAAGAGAATTTCGTTCTCGCAAGTCACGAATGTGTAAAGCGATGTTTATGCTTTTCGTTGTTCTTGACAGCTTAGTTATGAGTTATGTGACGGAATTTTCCTGGAATTTTGATGCGTTGTTGTATCGCGAGAGATGCTGTGACAGTGAAAGCTCGACTTGATGGACATTTACTTGTGGTAATAATTACTGTATATTACCATTACTTTTCTGGTAACTGCCTAGACTAGGCAAGGAAAAGACCTGACTATGAATTTGGAATTGTGCTGACTTTTCTTGTATCTATAAGCTACTCCCTCCTTTCTAAGATACATGACGTTTTAGATATGGACACTATCTCTAATACACACCTTTGATTTTCTTTTTATAATATATAATTATATATTTTGAAATTGTTTTTCATTGCCAGTTCAATGGTACAATTTCTATGAATAAATCTAAGCATTTTTTGATAATTAGTTGTGAAAGATAAAGGAGATATCTCCGCCAAAAAAAAGAAGATAAAGGAGAAGGCAGTGCTTGTGCTTGTGAGCAACTGGAGGAAGCGTATGTTGGCTTATGGCATACGCGGTCTAGCTTTAATGAGAGGAAGATATCCAGCTGGTTGTATTGTGTATGCATACTTATTTCTTGCTCCCGATATCTAAAAAATGGAAGATAATCCGTTGCTTGTCGTGTTCTATCGTGGCTGAATGTCTGAATCAATTAGCGCTCTTTCTAACAGAACCAATTGTTGAATTGACTGTAGAATAAAGCAGGAATGTCATGCTCACCTGAAAGTGTGATAAAAGCAGAATCATTTGTGCAAAATATACTCCAGATTTTTCTGTACATACTATTTTACTTAAGTGGTTAACACATTTGTGCAAAATATGGTGCTTCAAGATAGCTTTATAACACCTTTCAAAAAAAAATATAGCTTTATAACTCGACCATTTCTTTACTTAATTGTATCTTTACATTATTTTGTTCATGCATGCATTTTTATTCACATTCATGCAGTTTGTCAATATTTGACGGTTATTCTTTGTTGCACAGGGTTTGTTCTAGAGGGTGTATCTGAAGTTCTCTCAGCATCCGAGTGCGCAGCTTTGTACAAAAGGAACCATTGAGGCCATCTCAGACTGTCTTCATGGATGAATGATAAGATCACCAGTTGCTGTCACTTTAAGTATCTACAAGTCACTCTTTTCATAATATTTCTGAGCAGAGATTGGGGAGTCAAGTTGTAAGGGTGTAAAGATGGACTACTCTAATGGTTCTTTCTTTCCTTCATGGCCTGACAATTCCGCTTCTGAGAATTATAGCTTTGTTGATGGTTCAGTGGAATCATATGCAGAAGAAGGAAGTATGCCACCTGCAGGCTATTTCAGAGCTAGATCAAATCAGAATTTAACATTTGATGAGCATGAACAGAACCCTGCTATGCTTGCAAATGGGTGCTTGCCGTACAACACCCAGACTGATCTATTATCTGGTGAGATTCTGTCAGAGGACAAACCTTCCAACAGCCTTATGGAGCTTCCACAACTTCAGAACAATGGCAGTCTGCAAAGTAATTTAATCCCATCAGGGACTCTTCAGTGCACTTCAACACCTGGAACATTTGACCTGCAGTTGGATACCCCTGGCCTTCTAGAACTTCCTCATGCCTTGTCCAGTTCAATTGAAAGCAATGGTAGTGAAGTTTCAGCTTTTCTTGCTGATGTACATGCTGTTTCTTCAGCCTCAACTCTGTGTTCGACATTCCAAAATGTTCCTTCCTACATGGAACCAGTAAGCCTAGAAGCTTTCAGTTTTCAAGGGATACAAAATGCTGCTATGTTCAACAATACAAGTCATTCAAATGGGAACCTGTCAGTATTTGATGAGGCAACCATGGCATCACTACATGTAATGCTCATGACAAAGATATAACTGTAACATATTGGTACTACTGCTACCTATTTCTCATTCACTTGGCTATTCATTCTTGTGGTAATACAGGATAGCAAAGAATTTCTCAGTGGTGGCATCTCATCTTTTGGTACGGCCGAGCAGTCTCAACTAGCTGGTAGTGGTTTGAAGGCTGAACAACAGGTTTTAATTTTGGAACTCTGCCACTAAACAGCAATAACCGCAAGTTATTGTTCATTCAATTCTGTACTGGTAAATTAACTTCTTTTGTTCGTATTGCAGGAACAAAATGTGATGTGCAATATTCCGCTCCCTTTCGCTTCTGGTAGTCAGATGGCAGTGAGTGAAGCACAAGGGACACTGATTCCTTCAAAGGTTTTCTTTAGCATTTGTTACATATTTAGTGTTTCGTTTTATTCTCTTTCTTTGGATTCATATCTAACTGAGTTTGACTCTGTTTGCAAATGTTCAGATAAGCTCAACGATCCATAACAATAAAAGTGAGTACCCTGTCCCTATCAGCCATTCTGCTGATGCGCAGAACAAGGCAAATTCAGCTAATGGAAATAGTGCCAGTGCTAAGCCACGAGCAAGGGCTCGTCGTGGACAGGCAACTGACCCTCATAGTATTGCTGAACGGGTGAGTTATCTTGTTTGGTAAATTCACTCTAGATAAATGAAAATGTTTCATAACTTGGGTTGGTTGAATTTTATCTATGTGTTCATGCCCTATCATATATTTTTAACTGGAACTTGCTTAATACTGCAGCTTCGCAGAGAGAAGATCTCAGAGAGGATGAAAAATCTCCAAGACCTTGTACCAAATTCAAATAAGGTATTATTTATAGTGTTTCCATTTATATTGGTACAAAAAATGCAGGGGTATTCCTTTTTTCCCTGTTCAACATGCAGTACATTTATATTAGTCCACCGAAATATCTTTTATTACTTCCATATAACCGAATCAGAAGAGAATGACATATGGTAATAACCAATCATATATTTGGATACATATGTGCTGAAGTATTGTTTTAAAATTGGCCCAGCAATAAGTGAAGCAAGTAGTTGTTTGGATTTTAAGACTTGAAAAGTGCAAATAACATTTGTCCTAAATAGTTACCAGTTAGGGGTAGCCTACCCCAACTTGCTTGGGACAAAATGCCTTGATGTTGTTGTAGTTATCAGTTAGGGGTAACCTAAGCCATCACAAGTCATAGGTTCAGTTCCTTTATGATCTGCTTAATGTTCTAGGCATGTTTGTTTTGTAGCCACACTTCGGCAAACTAGAGTTCGACAAGTTAGAGCTTTTCTCGCCACTGTTTGGTTAGTGCCTAGTGCCATACTTGCAGGGCATCACACTTCTCTAGCACTAATGCATCATGGCTTGACGTGTCGTACGCACAAGCCAAATTTGCATTTGTTGTGGCGGGCTGGCACCGGATTTGGGCACAACAAAATCTGTGCCACCTATACTGTTATCCATGCCTGGTTTAGAACATTGCGAAGTTAATGAAATTAACTTTTCCTTAAGTTTATTGGTCACTCTCGAATAAAATAGTATAACAATGAAATTTGGAATTCCTAACCAATAGTCTTTTTTATGTGAGCAGGCAGATAAATCATCAATGCTTGATGAAATAATTGATTATGTGAAATTTCTTCAGCTTCAGGTGAAGGTGCGTCCACAAACATGTTCATGAGTAGTAACTTTCCCTGTTGGTTGTCATTCTCCTTCATTTCCTTTCTCTGAAACAAATCGTCCTGGTTTCAACATTACAGGTCTTAAGCATGAGTAGGCTAGGAGCTCCCGGGGCAGTTCTTCCCCTCCTTGCAGAATCTCAAACTGAGGTACGGAAACTTTTCTGTTTGTACAAAGTGAATAGCTCCTTGTTGTGACTATAGGCATAAAAAAATTGGTAGACAATGACAAGTTTTTTTCGTTGTTGCATTTCTACTGTTGGTTACACTACTTTTATGACCATAATATGCTTCGTGATTATTCAGGAGTCTTAGAGCTCCACTTGCATTGTAGTTAGAATTTATATTAGATTCTTTTGTATTTTTCATGGCTTTAATTTGGTTGAATGTAACCAAATCTAATTTATCAATATCAGTACTGATGAATAAACACTTCATTCAAGTCAAGTCCTTGCTTTTTCTCTAGAATGCCAGTGTACTCAAGTTTTATTGCACTGTCGAACTTTCCACAGGGCCATAGCAATTCACCTCTATCACCTCCAACTGCTTCACAAGGGCTTCTGGACGCAGCAGGCCCAGAAGACAGCTTGGTCTTTGAGCAAGAAGTTATAAAGCTGATGGAAACAAGCATCACAAATGCAATGCAGTACCTTCAGAACAAGGGCCTCTGCCTGATGCCTATCGCTCTTGCTTCAGCCATATCCAACCAGAAAGGCACTTCTGCAGCTGCAGTCCCTCCTGAAAGGTGAAAACAGAAAGCACATCATGCTCCTCCCATCGGCCTGAGGAAACAACTGCCGAAATGTGCTAGAGTTCATAGAAGTTATGAGAAAACTAAATCCGAGGCTGAAGGATAGGAAGTTATGCGACTAATAGTACAAGCTTATGGTATAATCTAGTAGCTTACTCCAAGAAACCTATACCTTTTCTCTTCTCTGTTGCACATCGGTTGATGTGTATTCTTTTGTTTTTTGGACGGCATTCTAATTGGGTACAAGTGTCTGGCACCTTGGGTTGTACATGGATCTATGAGGGTTATTACCGACTGTTCATGATGTTATATGATGATCAAAGCAGACCTAGGAAAACTTGGTTGCTTTGGGTTTCACTTGGTTAGGGCAACTCTAATCTCCTCGAAACTGAACTCCCAAAGGAATATGTGTAGTAGCCTCGTTTTTTATCGACCCCCAAAACTTTTAAGTCCATAAACTCTTTTTTTGCACTTTCTCTCATCACATTGCATACGTAAACCTCATTTCCACTTCATTTCAAAACCATATTTAATACAACCTTGATGATTTGAATGCATACATTCCAACTACATTTGAAATGCGAATGCACAAAATCTCAAATTTAAATCACAAATGTTCATGAAGTACTGAAAGCAACGACATATAGTTCATCTGATAACAAGAACATAGAGCAAAGTCCGTTGAGAATAAATGGGAGACAACATTGAGTATAGATTAAGCACCCACATCCATCTTGGCAACAGTGAGGATAACAGTTTTGGCATTTCCAAGATCTCGTGACGAGCTTGCTCAAAATATTGTTTTGCCATATGCCGTCCAATTGTGAAAACGTCCATGAGCATGAGATCCTCAACCTCACCTCCTTGAGGGCAAGCTTCCTGTCCTCTTCCGCCGGCTTCCTCTTCTCCTCCAACCGCGCGGAGTTCATCCACCTTGCCATCTTCCCTGCCTTCACCATTTCTCTCTTTTGGTGTCTTCTCCTAATTCCTCCTTGTGCACTTCTCATTATTTTTTAAGAATTATCCAACAATGATGCAAAGTGAAGGCCGTCCCATCATTCTTCTTGTTGTTTTCCTTGAGAAGTCCTTGCACGTAGGAATCAAGCTTATTGAGTGGCATACCACTTGTCGGTGTTTCTTTCACTTAACACAACCTTCCCATCTGGTTGCATTGATCTTGAATTGTTGACTAGTGGTGCGAGTACGGATATTTTGTGAGGTTGGACTCAACCTTCACCATGCAACGATAATACTCCTCAGTTCCTCTCCAAAATGTTTCTTTGCTCTTATCTGTGCCTACCACCGTGTCAAGAGACACATTCATTCATGCATAGTACAATGCTATGTCCTCCTTTGCATTGTAATTCCTCATTCTTCCCATCTTCTTCATGGTTTGGCTTGAGATCTTGAGGACAACTTCTCCTCTTTTTGCATCGCCAACTCCTCCATCTCGTTGAGTTTGTTCATGCCAACACCACCATTCGGCGCTGACATGCAAATTTGACATGAACACATCCACCAGCGAATAGGGTTGCAAACTATGTGTAAGCACAAAAATTACGTAGATATCAACATTACCAAAGTTTGAAGAAGACAAGAGATGATGCACAACAAAACCTTACCTTATA